TGTATACATAAACTATTGATTTCTTAAAATTTGGTTTTGAGTTTGACTCCTTATAGGCGCGTAGCGCCCAATGGAGTAAACATGAAAAGAATGTTATTTAATGCAACTCATCAGGAAGAGTTGCGCGTTGCCATCGTTGATGGTCAAAAATTACTCGATATTGATATCGAGGTGACAGGGCAAGAGCAGCGTAAGGGGAATATATATAAAGCGGTGATTACGCGCTTAGAGCCATCTTTAGAAGCTTGTTTTGTCGATTATGGTGAAAGCCGGCATGGTTTTTTGCCCTTTAAAGAAATTTCACGCGAATACTTTAAAAATAAAAATGTTGATATTCGTCATGCGAGCATTCAAGATGTGCTTGAGGTTGGACAAGAACTGATTGTTCAAGTGGAAAAGGACGAGCGTGGCAATAAAGGCGCAGCCTTAACCACATTTATTTCTTTAGCAGGTCGTTATTTGGTACTCATGCCAAACAATCCTAATGGTGGTGGTGTTTCACGTCGAATTGAAGGTGAAGACCGGCAAGAACTCAAAGAAAATATGTCCCAACTGGATGTTCCCAATGGTATGAGCTTAATTGCGCGTACCGCAGGGATTGGGCGTTCAGCAGAAGAGCTACAATGGGATCTTAACTATCTAACCAAGGTTTGGAGTGCCATCACGGGAGCGGCTTGGGGTCAAGATGACGAAGGTAATGCTGCAAAAGGACCTTTTTTGATTTTTTTAGAATCAAGTTTGGTTATCCGTGCAATCCGNGGGAGCGGCTTGGGGTCAAGATGACGAAGGTAATGCTGCAAAAGGACCTTTTTTGATTTTTTTAGAATCAAGTTTGGTTATCCGTGCAATCCGCGATTATTATCAGCCTAGAATAGGCGAAATTTTATGTGATACAGAAGATGTATTCCAACAAGTTCAAGCATTTATGAGCTTGGTTATGCCAGATGAGGTTGAACGGGTAAAACGCTATCGAGATGATGTACCGCTATTTTCTCGTTTTCAAATTGAACACCAAATTGAAACCGCTTATTCACGTACCGTTAATTTACCATCAGGTGGTGCAATCGTTATTGACCATACCGAAGCTTTGGTGTCCGTTGATGTGAACTCGGCACGTGCAACACGAGGTGGTGATATTGAAGATACAGCGACACGTACCAATCTTGAAGCGGCAGATGAAATTGCTCGTCAGTTGCGTTTGCGAGATTTAGGTGGCTTGGTGGTGATCGACTTTATTGATATGGGGCAAAGCCGGAATGTCAAAGAAGTCGAAAATCGACTAACGGAAAGTTTGCGACAGGACCGCGCTCGTGTACAAATGGGGCGTATTTCTAAATTTGGTCTGATGGAGTTATCTCGTCAGCGTATCCGTCCTTCATTATCTGAGGGTACGCATATGCCTTGTCCTCGCTGTAATGGCACGGGACATATTCGTGACACGGAGTCATCGGCGCTTCAAATTTTACGAATTATTCAAGAAGAAGCCCTCAAAGAAAACACAGCGGCGATTCATTGCCAAACGCCAGTTGAAGTTAGTGCGTACTTACTGAATGAAAAACGCCATGAAATTAATAAGATCGAGTCGCGCTTTAAGGTGGACGTATTGCTAATTCCTAATCGTCATTTAGAAACGCCGCATTACAAGTTCGAGCGTTTAAAACACGATGACCCACGTCTAGATAACTATCGACCCAGCTATAAAATTGTAGAAGAATCTGAAAAGGCCCTCGAAAAAGACACCGAATATCAAACGCAAAAAGAACCTTTGCCACCACGTCAAGAAGCTGCGGTTAAGGCTATCACGCCCGATATGTTGCCACCACCGACTTCAAAACTTAAGGTTGCTACTGTTAGCGAAGCAGAGGCAGAGAAAAAACCATCTATCTTGTCATGGATACGAGGACTGTTTGGTGTTAAGCCCAAAGTGGAAGCGCCTGTTGAGGCTGTGGTGGAAGAAAAAACCACAAAAAATCAACGAAATAAAAACAATCAAAATCGCAACCGTAACCGCCGAGGCAATGGAAATGGTACGCAAAATCAAGTGGCAGCCGAAGCTAAAGAAAATGTTGTAGAAGCAAATAACGAACAAAATTCTTCAGGCAATAACCGCAATCGTTCACGTAACCGTCAATCCAACAAAGAAG